GTGATATTAAGTGGTTTGTCTCGTTGGTTGAGCAGACAAAGTTTGATGCCCCAGGCGGGACAGATCCAGTTTCTCTTGATTTTAGTAGCATGGGAAAAGGTCAGGCATGGGTTAATGGTCACCATATAGGAAGATATTGGACTTTGGTTGCACCAAATAATGGATGTGGAAGTACTTGTGATTATCGTGGTGCTTACCACTCTGATAAATGTAGGACAAACTGTGGAGAGATTACTCAGGCCTGGTATGAACTTCTTTTAATTGCTGAAATTATAATTTACATTCTCGGAAATTTGGCGCTCATGATTGTAAGAGGCCACACCTGTGTAGGTGCTGTGAAATGGATCTAAGCTGGTACATTCTTTTGCTTATAAAGATTCTTTTTTTTTTGGACCAGGTACCATATACCTAGATCATGGCTAAATACATCCAATAATGTACTAGTTATCTTTGAAGAAACAGATAGAACTCCGTTTGACATTTCCATTTCTACGCGTTCTACTGAAACCATATGTGCTCAAGTATCGGAAAAGCACTATCCACCTCTACATAAGTGGTCTCATTCAGAGTTCGACAGAAAGTTGTCTCTGATGGATAAAACACCAGAAATGCACTTGCAGTGTGACGAAGGACATACAATCTCTTCTATCGAATTTGTAAGCTATGGAAGTCCGAATGGCAGCTGTCAAAAGTTCTCACAAGGCAAATGCCATGCTGCAAATTCCTTGTCTGTTGTATCTCAGGTATGTTCATTTGTTTCCTTTTTTCATTTCTTAAAATCGAGTTCTATGTTCACCTCTCTTCGTTACAATATGTTGACTGCAAGAGTAGATAAACGTATGCCTTGCAGATACTAAATTATTTCATGATTGATTTATAATTAGTTGGACAAGTCGGTCAACCTTTACAATTAAGAACTGCAAAGAGCATAGGAATTCCTTCGAAAAGCTTTGATCATCACACAATGATTTTTTTTAATTAGTGATAGCTATATGCCAAGTGGATGTACAGGGTAAAGGATCTATTTGTATGTTTCAATTACAAAAGAGACGTGTCAGGTTAAACAATGTATGAAAACTTGACTGTTTTGATTGGGAGTTAAATCTCGATGTTTCTTTCTAATAGAGCAATATATTTACTGCTCGACATCGAATTCACTGTTATATTTGTACAGCTGAGAAAAAATAAACCATAAAAAGAAATGAACCTTGATATCAAGTGGGATGGGTCTGGATAGAGTCTGATGCAGAAGGTGATCATGTCAATCTGTCAAATACTCAGATTGTCTTCAGGGGCGGATCATGTGAACTCTGTAGTTTTTACCCTGACCATGTTTGCGTATTAAGAAATCCATCAAATATCTATATTGTTTGACGATGAACCCACTTATTATTATAGCTTTCTTCTGAGGTCGGCATAGGAACCTCTAAGCTTCAAATTCTGGATTCACCTGTGTGTATCTTAATCAAACTTTCACTATATTACAGGCTTGTATAGGAAGAACTAGTTGCAGCATTGGCATTTCCAATGGTGTATTTGGAGATCCATGTCGACACGTTGTGAAGAGTTTGGCTGTTCAAGCAAAATGCTCACCACCACCAGATCTCAGCACTTCAGCTTCCTCGTGATGAGAATCTGGTAACACGTTAATCTTTTAGAACGAAACGTTCCCTTAAAGTCCTCGTGTGTTGCCCTACCCTGAGCCCCTGCTATATTTCTTAGATTGCATCGTTACAATCACGCGGAGAAAACATACATGGACGATTTTACTTGTAAATGTTTGGTTACTGACTTACTGTATATAAAATGAAATGAATATATGATGCTAATGAATATGAGCTACAAATTATATGACAGAGTAACAATTGAAAATAGATATCTGTAGCTTGTTTTAGACCCTAAGCTTCAACAGTCTTTCTATCGTTATTAAACTCCGTTGTCTGTCGGAGAATTATATTAACACCATTTATTAAAAGTTAGTTAACATGATTATATTTCCTAGTAGTTTTCTAAAAATATCTCCACCAACTTGTTTAACTTTATTAAGGTTCAATATTCATTAAATTTTGTGCATCAATCAACACCAACGAGACATAATAAATAAATAAATATATAAAAAGAAACTCGGTTTGGTGTTTGTATAGTGCTCAACCTTACCAATAAATATTAAACTGTCGTTTAAAGTTCGTTATAGCTTAAAAAAAATTAAAGCATAATCTGATGTTCTCATAAAATTTTTGGAAAAATTATAGAAATCCCACCTTTTAGTTTACTTATTACTATTATCCCCTATAAGTTTTACAAATCTCCAAAATCCCTCATTTTCGCGCATTCGATTAGTGTATCAGCGCTTATATTATTGTATTTCGATGCCAGTGCTTATATTATTGTATCTCGCACATCAGATTAATGTATCAGAGATAGATAAGTGTTGATACATGCGCGAGATATAATAATATAAGCGTTGATACATTAATCTGATGCGCGAGATACAATAATATAAGCGCTGATACACTAATCTGATGCGCGAAAATGAGGGATTTCTGTAATTATAAACTTTTAAAGGATAAATTGTAATTTTGCCTTAAAAGTATGTGATTTCTGTAATTTGCCCTAAAATTTTTGATATTATTTCATGGTCTAAAAGGCCTACAATTTGCAAAAACTGAATCTGGCCCAAATAATTCCAAATTCAATCGAGGAAAAATAATAAAATATTTGGCAAAGTTTGTCTTCCATAAAAAGAAAAGTAAACCTATTTTTGTTGTCCTATTCCTCAACGTTTTCTATATTAATTGATTATAGTTGAATCTCCGTAGTAAAAATTATTTCTCAACAATTATGGAAGACGGTTTACCTCTTCTTCCATATGATATTCTATTTTCCGTCTGGGCTTTCAATTAAATCTTTGTTACGTTTTAAATCTATTTCTATCTATTGGAGAGCTATAATCTCTGAAAATACATTCGTTAAAGCTCAACGCGATCAATCCAAAGCTTTGGGCCGTAGAAAGCTCTTGTTAAAGAACAGAACTAGTGGAGAATTCAAATTGATTGACATTGAAAATCCCAAATTTATTAGTGAAACTCAGGAAAAGTTTCTTTTGAAGAATTATGTAGTCTTATGTTCACTTGATGGTTTGTTACTATTAAAGGAAGAAAATTATATGAATTTTGTTTTGTGGAATCCATCAACTAGACAACACCGAAATCTCGAATCATATCTATATGTGAACGACTACATACTTCCTCATGCTTGTGGTTTGTGTTACGATGATTCTATCAGTACTGATGATTACAAGGTTATATTGATATATAGATTGTTTTATGTTGTCTACTCTACGAGTACACGTTCTTGGATGATAAAAACAAATCCCATACGCCTCCCTAATATTGAATTACTAAGATCTTGTTATTGGAATCGAGGTATTAGTTGAGGTATTAGCATTGAAGGTTGTGTATATTGGTCTCTATTGTGGAAACTTGATGAGATTAATGTTGGTAAATCATGTACAATCATATATTTTGATGTAAAGTCAGACGAGTTAAAGGAGATTCCACTTCCACCACCGGATTTATATAATGATCATTGGCTCCTTCCATGTTCTTTGAAAGGTTGTCTTGGTTTATACAACGTTAAGAAGTTTACTATGAAATCGAACATCTGGATCATGGAACAAGATGGATGGAGATTGGTAACGAAGCCTTTTTGCGACGTTCGAGGAATATTATCTATGGAGGAATATCATTTAGTAATGCGAACTCATCCTTTGTGTTGCACGGGAAATGGTGAAATTATCTTTTGTAGATTAATGAATGGTATTCATCATGATCTTTCAATTTATAATATCGAAGAACAAAGATTTGTTACGAAATCTTATAAATTGAATTATCATGAGTTTATGTTGTTTTCTCAAGATGTAACATGTTTGGATAGCTTATGTTTTCCTAGACAAAATTAAATTAATGTCTTTTTTTTTTTTTTCACATGGTGTCTGATATCCTTATTGGAGTTCGAGGCGCTATTTGGGGCGCTTCCTATCAAGGATTTTTTCATACCTAGGACTTGAATCCGAGACCTTTAGTGAAGAGGAGCAACCATCCACTACACCACGTTCTTTGATAGTTAAGTTTGGTAATGTACGTTGTCTTTAATTAGTATTATTCTTCTCATTCATATTTTTATTTTGTTTCTATTTGTTTTTGTTTCAATGATTTTGTGATATTGCAACTCAGTATTTCGGATTATGGATTTTAAAATGCCGACTTTAAGTGATAATAACTCGGTTTTAACCTATAAATTATCCAAACATATTGAGGCTATGGGAAGAAATTACACATTCTCGTAATCACTTACGCTAGCAATAAATTGTTGTCGTTTAGTATTATAGATGATCCATGATCCATATGTTCGATTCGTTACGCGTTGGGAGGTTTTTCAATTCATCTGACTTAATGTCAAAATATATAATTGTAGAATTTCGACACAATGTCCCGGGAATTGTTATTCAAAGAGTAGACACAATAAAACGAGCCATACATCATTATTATAACCTTGTAGTCATCAACTTTGCTATTAAATATTACTCATTTTTCAATATTTAGATGACTTATACTTATTGGGATGATATATCAAATCAACCCTCTATTTATTATTTTTTAAAGCATATGTCAAGTGAGACATAAACAAGTAAAAAGGGACGGAGAGAGGGAGTATAAGAGATGGAAAAGAAAAAGGATTCTTTAATTTCCTTTAATATGGTTTATACTAGGAATAAACAAACGGTGCCAAATAATAAACTTAATTACCAAATAAAAAAGGATTGATTTATGCAAATTAATATCCCTTTTATTTAATAAAGTGAGAAACATTTTTAAAAAAAAAAATTGGTTAAACATTAATTGCTACTCAGAAATATTTTTCAAATTGGTTAAGGGTATTTTAATTGACACAGGTTTGTTTAATTTATTACTAATTCAGCCTCCTTCTACTCATACGCGATGAAACCTAATACAAGAAATCCTATTTTTCCCGAAGAAATAATTTTCGAAATATTTTCATGGCTTCCTGTCAAGTCGTTGGTGCAATTCAGGTGCGTTTCGAAAAAAATCTATTCTCTTATGTTGGAATCAGAATTCGTAGATATTCATCACCGTCGTTCTATGATTCGTGATGGTGGAACAAAATTCCTATTACGAAAAATAGAAGGTTTTTACACAATTGAGCGAAACGAAGATGGAAAAAACTATAAATGGAACCCTAATAATCGTTATGATTATGTAATGTATGCTAATGGTTTATTTTGCATGTGGAAAGATAATGTGGAAACCCCTAGAATTTGGAATCCGAGTACAAGAGAAGTAATACGTCTTCCCAATCTAAGAAGATGTGGAAGCACAATTGATCCTTTAATGTATAATTATTCATTAGGTTATGAACCCGAAGAAAAAAAATATAAAGTATTGATGACACAAGAATTTAAGAGAGGAAGTAGGCCCACAAAAAATTGGGTATTCACATTAAGTATAGACGAAGAATGGAGAGAGATTGAAAGTACGGTTGATTTTATCCCCTCTTTTAATCGAAGAGTTTGTGTCAACGGAGTTATCTATATGCTGGATTACAAGATTAATAAGGCTATTGTTGCATTCGATGTTAAAGGCGAAAAGTTTAGAATTATCAAATTATGGAAGAATTTTGGTTCTAATAATTTCGGGGATTACAATCTGATAGAAGTGAAGGGAAAATTAGGAGTCGTGAACAATTCAAAGTTGTTTGGTGAAGAGAATTTGTGGATTTTAAGAAATTCTCGATGGAGGAGACATATCATTCGCTTTACTCAAGAAGTTGAGTTGGGTTATTATACTAGTAAAGAAATTTGCAATTCTTGTGATGGAGAGATTGTATTTATCGTGTCAGAATCGTATTTTTCGGCATTATATATTTATGATATTAGGAAAAATAGTTGGAAATATTTGAAAATTCAGCAGTTACCAGGAAAGGGTTGTATTTACAATGTTTTTTGTTTTGCAGAAAGTGTATTCTCATCACCAAGTTTAAGAATTTTAAGACATTTGGACTTGTAATCTTCCTATTTTAATTTTATGCTATGGTTTCCTTGTTATAATATAAGTTATATATTATATATAGTTACAGCTTGTTTGCATGATTGCGACCTATTATATCGAATCGTATTATTTGTTTTGATGGTTAAATTTATTAGATATAACGACTGATTTGATGTTGTTACTATCTATTATTTCTCCGTTGAATATGATAGCTCTCCATGGCTTTGAAACGGGTTGAAACTCTATTGGATGTTATAGTTCTCCATGGTTTTGAAACGGATTGAAAATGTAAGAATGAGTCGAATCTAGGAGGGGCGTCAGGGTATTCACCCGAATCCTCTCGGCAAAAAATTATATTGTATATATAAGATATATGTTTTTAAATGTGTATATATAGATTTTGAATCTCCTCATTACAAGACTAGAGGGTCGTCGACTCAGTGGTTTAGTGAGTTCAAAATTCACCTTAAGATTGCAAGTTTAAATCCTAAGAACTATACTTTTTATGTTTCAAGCCCCCCTTAACAAATATTCAGAATTCGTCACATTTTTCTTGAACAGAGAATCAATATTTATATTATTGAATATGCATCACTACAAAATATAGGATCGCTTCAAACCAATCGTTCATAAATCATGATAGAAAATTGCATAAGATAAAGTACTATTGAAAACTAATATTTAATAATCTTATTAAAAACTATATAATAAAAGTGGAAGACAAAACATAATGAAAAAGATTCAGAACTCTATTGAGTAAAAAAAAAAAATAAGGAAAAAGTCAAAGTCTAAACATTTTTTGTCTTCAGTCTCATAATTGTGAAAAATATTTGTGATCTAACCTTTTAATTTGTCTAATCAAAATATTTTGAAAAATTACAACATGATATGTGTAGTATTCTTATTTATCTGTTGCTTTGAAAAGATTTTTAAAATCATATATACTAAGTCTTAATTTATGTAGTATAGTTCGTATTTTGAGAGTCAATTTTTTCTATTTAAACCATGGATTTGAATATATAATCTTTATATTTTTAAAATAAAATTTATATATTTGAAAATTACGTAAAAAAAATACAACTCCCTCCGTCCACTTTTACATATCCACTATATTTAAAATGTATTTATTTAATTTAAAATTTCAAAATATAATTATCTAGTTTAACAATATTCACTTCTGATGCATTTTTCAAATAATTGAATTTATTATATTCGAAAAGTGATGTACTAAAATTGTCATTCTATTTATTACTCCATAAAGTCATGTGCAAGTCAATATTGAACAAGTGTCAAGTCAATATTAAACAAGTAAAAAATCAAAATATAATTAACAAATTCAACTTAAGACATGAAAAAATAACAATCAAACTAAAACTATAAAGTGGTTTTCTCAACATCTCTTTATAAATTATATAATCTGATAAAGATAAATATTATCATGATATTCTTTTTTGGAAAAAAAATTATACAATTTCTAATATTATTTTTGGTTTGGTGGACAACCATACTCACTCTTGTAAACACACACACACATAGGGTAACCTACAATTTTCTCCACACACTCTGTTGACATATAATTTTCTCCATATTTATCGTAACATAGGGAGCCACAATATAATACATTTCCATCCTTGCAAGCAATTTGAAGTTCTGCTTCACATACAATCCCATTTGTTAAGGCCATTTGTGTCATTATCAACATAGCTGCAAAAATAAAAATAATAAATATTAAGAAAATTTGTCCATAGCATTGAAATACAAAATCAATGGATCAAGAATTTAAATCTTGATCTTCTATAGTTTTATTTATAATACATCGATCGCTTTCTCTTTAATTAGTATAAGAATACAAAAATCACAACAAGGAAAAAATCAATGAAGAAAAAAGTTTTATTTTTATTTTAGTGCAATGAAAAAGAAACTTGACACAAATTAGAAAATAATTATGGTTCAAGTTGAAAAGCAAATAGAAATTATAAATTGTATATACATACCATAAATGTAAGTAATGAGAAAAATAGAATAGAGACCAAAGTTTTCCATTGATGAATTTTTTAGTGAATAAAATAGTCAGTTCAATCATTTTTTATACTACAATTTAGGAGATTGTACTTAATTGTAGTAACTGAAATATTTAATACTAGAGATTTTCTTAATGACAAGTAATTAAAACAATATCATTATGTTGACCAATATATAAATAGAGGAGAATTTACTTGACAAACATTTTTTAATTTTTAGTTAAATCAATATTAATTATTTTTGTCTGTTTTTAAATTTGTATATATGCTATAATATTATTAAACTTATTATGAAAAAATATTTCTTGAATAGAATTCATGATTCGCGTTAGAAAATCAATATTTGAAAATTGTTTAGTGTAGAGTTATGGAAAAAATGTTTGATTACACAAAATTATTAAGCATCTTTTGTGAGTGCTTATATTTATGCAAATATGAGAAATTTTATTTTGATATCAAATAAATAAGAGCTATATAGTTTGAATTTTAGTTCCACGTTGGATAGTCTCTGATAAAACGGTCACAATGTTTTACTCTGAATTTCAAATGATGCAAACTTGGTGGCTGGAAAATAAGATTCATAGGCTTTTAATTTTATAGATCATGTAATTTCTAGAGGCAATCATTGATGACATTATTATTTATTAGGTGTAGATTGTGTATTGGCTATTTTGTATATATTTATTATTTATTACGATACAAAATCTCCATTCTTTCGTTTTAATTTTTGTAATATAGTTTAATTTGACTCGAAATTTAAGAAAGAAAACAATTTTTCAATACTTATATGGCTATAAATCATTTATAATAATAAAATAGACATTTTAAAATTAAATTATTACTAAATATAGAAATGTATTAATCTACTAGCTGACAGGATAGAAGCGTAGATTGGAGTTGACAGGATAGAAGCGTAGATTGGTTTACTATTGGTAAAATGCAACTCTATCTCCTTTAACCTTTGGTGCTACAACATTGCCACTTGTTCCAAATGAATTCTAAATATTGAATCAAATCAAATAACTTTTGTCAAATTTTCATCACTATATAAATCAAATACTAATTGAAAAATCAAGTGACTTTTATTAAATTAATTTCATCACTAAATCAATACTAATTGGAAAACTAAGATGTCAATTGCCAAGTGACCAATTTACATTTTACATATGAGTAGATATACACACACATTGATATTACACTATGATTAATCATGATAGTTAAAATTAGTAACCTCAAAATCAAAATGGATCAACATTAAAAAGTAGAACTAAAAATTTAAAAACTGCAAAAAAATAAGAAAAAAAGTTGAAAATGACATTAATATGTAAATATGTAAATAAAGGGTTACATGACTAAACAGGACATGACAAAACAATAACTTAAACGAAACAAGACATGACGAAACAAACCCTAACAAGGAAAGAGTTAACCTACCTCACCCTGTTCCGCTCTATCGCCATCCCTTTCGATAAATTTGTCTTCTTCTTGAATCTACTCTAGAAGTGAGTGAGCTATTTCCTCTTCCTCTTGTTCCTCTTGTTCATCATGACATTGATTTTAGGAAAACATAAGCTATCCAAACATGTTGCATCACAATATAAATACTCTTTTTTAACAAATTGTTGTTGTTTAGGATTATAAATGGAAACATTTTGATGCCCTGGTCCAACAAATATCAATTCACCATTCTCCTTGCAACACAAAAACTTAGTATGTGTGATAAAATAATGTTTGCAACATATCGTTGGTACGTTGCAAAGTTTCATTAACCATTTCCAACCATCTACGTCCATGGTCCAAATGTCTAGGTCAAAATTGTCACTACTTGTCATGCCACCGTATAAACTAAGACAATCTTTCACATTAGTCAAACGAAACCACTCATCATTACTACATATGAAATTTGGTTTTGGAAGTATGTTCAGTTCGTCTGATTTCACATCAAAATATATAATTGTAGAATTTTTACTTACGTTCAAGTCAAATTTACGAAGTTTTCGATGCAAAGACCAATATACACAATCCTCAACATTAACACCTTCAGCCCATTCATATGAACAAAATTTAGTTTCTTGTTCTATAGTAGGAAGAACTTGCTTTAATATAGGGAGATTTGTTTGCTTCCTCCAATAATTCCCGTTCGAGCAAACAACATAAAACGAGTTATAAATCAATATAACCTTGTAATCATCTGTAGTAGAATCATAACACAACCCACAAGCACGAGGAAATACATATTTCTTCACATATGAACATGATGCTAGTTCTTGGCATTGTCTAGTCGATGGATTCCACAAAACAAACTTCTTATAAGCTCTAGGGTTCTTTAATAGTACCAATCCATTATATGAGCATAAGACATTGGCATTTTCGAATCCTTTTAGTGGAAATTCTTGCCCCTCTATTGTAACGTTGGGATATTCTAAGTTTATAAACTTGAATTCATCCCAACTACATCCTTGTGATGACAAGCACTTTACACGTCCTAACGTGTTGGATTGATCAAGAATCGTTTTCTTGAATTCATATGTAGAGATTATAGCATTCCATGATGTAGAAACAGATTGAAAACCTAACAAAGATTTAACGGGAAGTCTAGTAAGAATGCAAACTAGGATATCACATGGAACACTATTAGTGGATTTCTTTTTTGACATTATGTCTAATATCTGATGCTGTTGGAGAAGTGTGGCGTAGAAATATAAATATTGAAAGGGCTTTCTATTAGGGTTTTTTTTCGTATAAGTTAATTAATTTATAAAAGGAAAATAATTCTTTTAAGAAAAATAGGATTTTTGAAGAAATTGTTTTAGTGAAGGAAAAGGATTTCTTTTTTCCTTTTAGTTAATGATTTGGGATTGATTTGTATTAGGATTCCATATATAGAAATAAGAGTTTGAGTTATATGCAATAATAGAAAATACGTAATTACATTATTTACAAGTAAAATATATTTTTTCAAAGACACTATTCACAAGACGACTTGTCAAACTCCACGTCATCACAAGACGACTTTAATTTTAAAAAATTAAATCGACAGGATTAAATTGCTCGATGTGGAGCAAATATCGAATGCAAGTAATTATTTATCGTGTGATGTTTCAAATTTGACTTTATTTGAGGTATACTTAGGTGTTAAATTGTGTGTTTTATTGTTGAAATTAGAAGATAAAGTTATTGATGTTGAACAAAAAATTATTTACGTCAAAGTACTGGTGTGAGTTCGATTCTCATTGTCCCTCGAGAGAAAAGAGAGGAAGTTTCTTTAAGAGGCAAATTAGGTGTGAGTCATAGTCCAACTAGACATGAAAAGTTTAAAGTTAAATTGATTCTAAATATAAATAAATCATTCTTTTTTGAAAATATAAATCATTCTTTTTAAAGCAGACTAAAACGGAAATAGTATCATATAAACATGAACAACAGTAATAATTTGTTTTACAATAAAACAGAACTTATGTTGGGTGCATCTAAGTCAGTGAGGAGTGAGCTTCTGTGGTTTGGGCTTCAGCAACATATATAGACTCCTCTTATGGTGATTTCTCTTTCTCTGGCAAGAGCATCGATTTCACTTCCAAAAAATGCCCTCATCGCCTATTTCTTATACGAATAACATCGATCAGAGGCTCGGAAATCATGCACAGTGATAGAACATAGACAAGTAAGAACCAGAAGATCAACACATTGTCATTGGCAGGTCAATTGGTGAGATGATTGATGATGCATTCACAGGGGCAAGCAGACATGTCGACAATGACCTGCTCGTTGTTTACTAGTAGATTGTATGTGGATTACTAGTGGTTCAATCCTATGTTTACTCATAAAGATGCAGTATGTACCTTTGTCACCAATGCCAGGGAAATCAGTGAAATTTGTATTCGTAGAATCGCATTTCAGGCATGTTATCTTATGTAAATAGAACACCATCGAACTCTGTTGCGGGTCTGGCCTAGACTTCCAGGCTCACATATGTGCTTTCTAGTTCATCGTCCCGTCTTTGCTTATCCCACAAATCTGAATTACTCCTCCTGGAACTTCCACACATAACGAGTGTGCTAAAAACTTGAACAAGAAAAGAGCTTATGCACTCAGAATGACAACTTCTCCTCGATATATTCATGGACTTAAGTACTCGAGCGTTGTATCAACTAGATCATTTTCTTTGCTTTGATGTAAGGCTAATAGCTCTAGCACCTCATGGATATCTTTTGAGAATGGTTTCGAATTATCACCCGATAGAAATTCTTGCACCAAACTGTTTATCTCAATCAGACTGCAGCCCGGTGTTTTCTTCATGCTTTTACTTCTAATGAACTTCCGCATCCTTGATACACCATCCCACTTTCCGAGATCTGCATAAATGTTAGCGAGTAGAATGTAGTTCCCTGTATCTTCAGGTTCGAGCTCTAACAGATGTTCCATTGCAATAACTGCTATTTCAAGATTGCGATGAGTTCTGCAAGAACTCAACAGAGAACCCCATATAGCAGAGTCAGGCTTAACTGGCATGGTCTTGATGATTGCAAGAGCTCGTTCAAGACGTCCTGTACGCCCAAGAAGATCAACCAGACAACCATAATGCTCTATCCCGGGCTCTATGTTGTAATCATTTTTCATGGAATCAAAGTACCTCAAACCGTCATCACACAGACCAGCATGTGCACAAGCACATAGAAGACCAACAAAAGTGATCTCATTCGGTTCAACAGCAGACCTCTGCATTTCATGAAACAACTTCAACGCTTCTTGAGCTCTACCATGATTCGCTAGGCCACCAATCATTGTACTCCAGGAGATCACATCTCTTTCAGACATCTGATTAAACAACTGCCAAGCCTCGTTTACACTTCCACATTTCGCGTACATCTCCATCAACGCATTACAAACAGAAGTCTTCCTCAAATACCCATACTTCTCCGCGTAGAAATGAATCCACTTCCCTAACTCAAGCGCTCCAAGTTGCGCACAAGCAGGCAAAACCGAAACCAAACTAATCCAATCCGGTTTCACACCAACCATTTGCATCCTCCTAAAAACATCCAAAGCATCTCCATAACACCCCGTTTTCGTGTACCCCGAAATCATAGCAGTCCAAGAAACAATACTCTTATCCGGCATTACATCAAACAATGCTCTCGCCTTCCTCACTTGACGCAACCTTACATGTCCACAAATTAAACTATTCCATGAAATCACATCTCTATCAGACATTTCATCAAACACCAAATGTGCATCTCTCATTCGATCACATTTAACATACATATCCAATAACGAATTCGCAATCACATTACTATAATACAACCCAAATTTCCATACATGAACATGAAATTGTTCACCTACATCAACACGCAAAATTGCACTACATGATCTAATAACAAATGGATACGTATATTCATCGGGAGAAATTGTACATATCATCATTTGCTTATACACATTGATACATGAAATATATCTATGTTTATGTGTATAAGCTCTGATTATTGAGTTGTATAAATAGTTATTTGGATCTTCAACTTGTTTGAATAGCAATTTTGCATATTCTATTTCTCCATTTTTGTCACAAATCTCAACCATTTTGGTGACCAAATAACTACTCTGTGAAAGAGAAAATTTGACAATTTGAGCATGAATTTTCTTCAAAAAAACTGTGCTCTTGCAGTTTTTCAAAACAGGTATAAACATATCTTCCAATCCATTGACTGTTAAAAATCCAAATTTCATGTTCATGATTTCTCTACCTGTTTGTGTGTGGCTCAAGTGTAAGAACACTAAAGCATATTAGTTGAGTTATGCGAGTATTAAATTTTTACATAGCTTATAATATGTTTGATAATTGACTAGGAGATAAATTATTGATACATAAAATAAATTTGGTATGTAATTTGTAATTTAGAAATCAAATAATATACATATATAACAAATACATGAATAACTAATTTTTGTATTATTATTAATACATGCATGAAATAATTAATATATAGATTCATTTATAAATAACCCCTACAAATATACTCATACTCAACAAGACAACAACGTGTAGACGTCAACAAATCTGGTTAGACAAAGAATAGAGATAAACAAACTTAAAAGGTTAACTTAAGCTTGGTTGATAGTTGTTTCGGTCCTAGCTAGCTTCATGATCTAGAAAATCGATGATTAGTTCGAGAGTGTCAAAGAAAAGAGAAATCGGCCTTTCTATATAGTATAAGAAAAGTTAGATAGTTGTATATAGAATTAACAAGATCATCATGTTACTATATCTCCGGATGAAAGGAGAACAAAGGTATTAAGAAAAAGAATTTCCTAAAGATTTAAAAGTACTGCAATCTTAAAGCAACTAGTGAATCTATATTATCGAATGATATGGAAGACGGTCCGAACATACACACTTTAAATTTATATTATTACATATAGCTTCATTGAATTATATACATCAACTCATTATTATCAATTTTAACACTTCTATTAAAACACAACCATTTATTTATAACATCAGTTTCAACTATAAAAATCGTTTTACAATAACTTATTTTTAATCAACTAACACAAACGCGATCCATATATCTTTTTAAATAAAAGTAAAACATGCAAATTTCTCATATCCATATAGTCTAATAATTATGAAAATATTCATAGAAAAATATGTAAATTTTCTAATCTACATTTGGTGGTGGACATGTTGGCTTGTCATATTTGTAGAAGCAAGTACAAAAAACTTGTCCTTTTTGTTTCTCCACACACTGTGAAGTAACAAAATTTTCTCCAAATACAATATGGCAAAGTGATTGACAATGTGGTAATTCTGCATCTGAACAAGAAAAATCAATAACTTCATATGGGCATACAGTTTGAGCATTTGTTGAGAGAACTTGAGTCATTATGAAAATACCTGCAAATGATATATACACTAGAAGAGTTATAAAAACAATATATTATTTTTAACTCAATATTTTGACATAAAATATGTGTGTGGAACTTCTAATTGAATTTTCGATTTTCAATTCGTCTCTCGCACATGTTGGAAATCTTGCCGAAAATACTTGATTATGGGAATTCTCATAGCTTGAGGTATGTCAAAGATATTGTCCTTAAGGATAATCCCGTCTAGGTGTATACATCTACATTCAACAAGTCTTTCTAGTGTAAAACTAGAAACCAAAAACTAACAAAGATTTTTAAAAATAGAACTCAACACAATAGATTATGAGAAAGAAGAATTTATCTTGGAAATTAATGAGACAATAAAATGTTGAAATGTGTGATTATTTCATCTAAAGTTTAAGTTGTTGGAGATAACATATTCTCAACTCCCCCCACCCCCCACATGTGCGCTTGATTTTTTTATGTGGATCAAACACGTAGAAACTCTTTGATATGGATGACGGTGAGATTTGATCTAACTACTCTGATATCATATTGAAGTGTGTAACAATCTCATTTAAAACTTTAAGCTGGTAGAAAAGGCATACTTTTATTATTTAATTATATTCTCAAGATAAAGGACTAATAATTAATTTATGGCTAATAAATGTCATAAAAGTCATTTGTACAATTTAGTACGTATACCATATTGAATTTACTTGAAACGTTTTGACGATACTCATTTTTTACCAAAATTAATTGTAGGAGTTGCAAGAAGAAAAATGATTTTCATTCCTTTGAGATATCAAATATATTTTGCCAACAACACAATCTTCCAATTTAAATATTCATTCGAGCTCCAAGAAAATTTTAACCAAAACAAAGTAAAATCAAGTCTAGATAAATCATACTACTAATATATAATTCTTACTCAAGTTAAACAACTTCTCAATCCTTATAAACTCTATGCAATTTAAACATTGTTAATATACGTATTTGAGTTTATGTCAGAATCGATAAAGATAAATATAAGGTATACAAAATTCAAATTTCTAGATTCACTGAAATCCAAAATAATTAGAAGTTAAATCCAGCCTCCAATCCATCATCGGAAAATTCTAAAAAAATCAAATTTCGATTGAAATTGTAGGAAAACACACACATGTATATATATATATACACTCACCAAATGACGATGAATCAGAGTAGGCAAACAGCGATAAAAGCAAAGATGTAAACATTCAAAAGAAACAAAACAAAAGACGTAAGCACTTACGTCATAAAGAAAGAGACAGAAAGAGAATCTCATCAAAGGAGACGAGGACAAGCACTTGGACAGCTCACCTTATCTCTTCATGGTTAAAGAATTTTATCTTGTCGGTCATTCTTTTCGGAAAGACCGATATATATATATCACAAAAGTAAATAGCAATTATAGGTTTATACGTACCAAAAATATAAGCAATGAGAGAAATGGAACAACGAAAAGATGCACTGATTTTTTCCATTGCAGAAATTTTAGTGAATATAAAAAGTAGCAACTTCACTAATCTTTTTATATATGCTAGAATATAGAGGAGAATGCACTAATAGAGAGAATAATTTATAATAGGAAAATTATTGATGAAAAATCAAAGTTAGATTAGTTTATTAATTACCCTTAATTATTAATTAATATGTAGGATATGGAAAGCATAAGTTAAAAATATTTTGCTCCTTCCGTTCTATATTAGTTATCATGTTCACTTTTTTGACAATAAATTATGTGAACTTGAACTAGCGTTTTAAAATTATATTTTATTAATCAAATTAAAATGAGAAAAGTTGTTACTTGCCATACTTATTATATAGTTTTAATATTTAAATTTTAAATAGTAAATATTGAGTTGATCTAATCCAATTTAACTTTGAAAATGAGTTAAATTTATTTTTACAAAACATGACAACTAATTTGAAATGGAGAATTTTTTTTTTCTAATTTAAGAGGGAGTCTAATAATAATAAATGTTTTAAGTATTTTACTTACAATTTGAATAAGGGTGAGATTGACTTATCCATAATTATGTGTTAGTCTTCTTTTTCTTGCCCCTTTTGTTTTTGGAAAATTGACTTAAAGAGAAGTTAGACTTTTTATATTTTAAATTTTAATTATATATGCCTAAATAGAAATTAATACATAGGGAAAAAGAAAAAATAATTAAGCATTTTTCACTTTTAATATTAACACTGATAACACATGTTATTGCTTGATGAATTTAGATGAATCAGTAAATAGGTATATGTGAATCACATTATTTTAGAAATTGCTTTCGAAAATCCCAACTCAAATAACACATATTTAAGAACATACAAATAATAGACCTAACAAAACCAATTTCTCATCCATATAATCTACGATAACAACACACATCCATATAATCTACAATAACAACATTTATACTCAATGTAATATTCTCATATGAGATTTGAAAAAAAATAAAGTGTACACAGATTTTACTCTTAATTGTTAAAAATAAAACAATTATTTCTGAAAGACACCAACTCAGATAACGCACGTCAAAAACTATACAATCTATAGACATAACAAAACCAATTTCTCATTCATATAATCTACTACACTAACATACCCTGAAAAAAGTAAAATATACACAAATTTATTTTTGAAAGACTTCCAACTCAGATAACACAAATCAAAGAACGTACAAACAATACACATAACAAAACCAATTTCTCATCCATATAATCTACTACACTAATATACTTTGAAAAAGATAAAATATATACAAATCTGTTTCTGAAAGACTCCTAACTCAGACAACACATATCAAAGAGCATACAAATAATAAACCTAACAAAACCAATTTCTCATCCATATAATAATCTTATTACATAAATTTCCATATCAAAGTATGTAATTAATTAATTTCTAATAAATATTTGGTGGTGGACATGGTTTGTCACTCTTGTAGAAGCAAACACAAGTAGCTGCAATTCCTAATTTTTTTAACACACAATATGCAGTAATATAATTTTCTCTAAATTCCATCTGGCAACGTGATTGACAACCTGGTAATTCTATTTCAGTACAAGGAAAATTAATAACTTCATAAGGACATACGGTTTGAGCATTTGTTGAGAGAACCTCAGTCGTTACGAAAATCACTGCAAAATGAAACGCGACAAGTATTATTTAACATGGTATATAATATCATAACACATTTAGGTACGTACAAGATGGGGGTCAAAATTATTGGATTCTATCGAAACAAAGTACACGTAATTATTAGAAGAGAAAATAGCAATTGTAGGTGTATACATACCATAAATCTAAGCAGTGGAACAATGAAAAGATAAACTTAAATTTTCCATTTATGAAGAATAAAAAAATAGTCACTTCACTTATCTTTTTATAATAATAGAATTTAAGGCGATTGAAGTAATAGAGATATAATTATCTATAATAGGAAAACTCTTGATGAAAATCAGATTTAAATCATGTCATTGTTACAAATTAATTAATATGAAGAATATGGAACACTATATCTACTGTTGTACGTTTTATTTCCATTCTTTTGTAGAGGCTAAAAAGGAATTAAACTAAGGCCTCATTTATTGTTTTCGTTACTATATATTAAGACATCTAAATCTGAATGTATATCTGATTAATGATGCACATCCGTAGAACAAATATATGATATATTTATTTATTCAATTCTATACATATTTAAGTGCCTCTTTATACACATCCCAAATTAGAGGAGATGAATATCAGTTAATACCAAGTTTACAACCTACATCATATAACTAGTGATATTACACATACTAAGATAACTTAGAAAGTGGATTTGCTACGTTTAAAATAACTT